AAGTCATTTAGGGAAATTAAGTTCCATGGCAGTATACAAAGACGCCATATGGAACTGGGAATGAATTCATCAGATTTGTTTGGAAAAATCAGACCTGGTTCTAATCGGGCCAGGAATTTGTCAGGCGTAGGAAAAGATGGAGAAGCAAAAGCAAGAGAGAAACAGTCTGTAAGAATAAAAATGTCAGTAATTATGCTGAGGGTCCAAAAGTTACTTTCATGTGCTGTGTGTCCACGAATTAAAGCCACCACGTCAAGGAGAGCGGGGGTGGCAGTGGGGGGTGCCTCATGCCTATTTACAGGCGCTGTGGGTTCCCCTCGGGAGGCTGCAGCATGTTCTTGAGGCAGAACATTTATCCACTTCTGCTTTTCTGGTTCCTAGCCCCCTGTCAAAGCCTAGAGCAGTCTTTTAACCAGCGCTGCCCACATTGGCAGCTGATGGTTCTCTGTTTTCAAGGTCGTTCCCGTCCACTGCAGGCTGCTGCTACCATCCCCGGCCCCCAGACTTTAGACAGCGGAGGCACATTCTAGAGGCCGGAACTAAAGCGTCTCCAGACATTGCCAGTTACGTGCCAGGGGCAAAACCTCCTCCCGTTGAGAACTCCGGGTTATGGGTTCACCTGGGTGGCTCAGTTGGTTAAGTGTCTGCCTTCCGCTCAGGTCATGATCCCAGCGTCCTGGGATCGAGTCCCGCATCGGGCTCCCTGCTCAGCAGGGAGCCTGCTTCACCCTCTGCTCCTCCCCCTGCTCTTGGGCTCTCTCACGCTCCATCTCTCTCTCAAATAAATAAAATCTTAAAAAATAACAAAAAACAAAAAAAAAACTCTGGTTAATGGCATCTAAATCCTGATGCACGGTCTGCTTTCCTCTGGCTTTTTGGACCAGTTCTTAGGGCTGAGGTTTGACTCTAGGATTACAAGGTTGCAGCTAACTTTGAATGAACCCGGGAAGAAATGAAGGTTCTGTGACTGTGTTGGAGCAGGGCCAGATGGGATTCTGTCTCTGCCGCCCAGTATCAGCACTCAGGGCTTTTTACGTTGGGCTGTGAGAGAGGAAGAGGTAGGTTTTCTGCGTGACTGGCCCTCCTCCAGGTTTTCATCTGCCCCTGCCGTTGTGCCGGGCCTCAAAGGTACAGGGAAGTTACGGGGGCGGAAGCTACGGTTAGTCAGGAAGACCATGTTCTGGTGGAGAAATACAGCAGATTCTTAATAAATGAATTCCAGCATGTCACGCTTGCTTAATGAAAAAAAGGCACAGTTATTAGAAGTTAGATAAAGGGAGCACCAAAACCCTAAGACAGGAACAGAGATAATATTTGTTTTGTTTTAAGTTGGAATTATTGAGATATATCTTATACACAGTGAAATTTTATTCATTAAAATTTAGTGTACAATTCCTTTCTTCCTTCCTTCCTCCCTCTCTCCAGAGGGAGAGAGAATTTAGTGTACATTTCTGTGAGTTTTGAAAAATGCATGTGTTTGGGTAGCCAACATCACAGACATGCACAGAACAGCTCCCTTACCTCCAGAAGTTTCGTCACGTCCTTGTGCTCTGGCGCCCAGCCACCGACAGCCACTTGGCCATTTAGTTTTGCCTTTTTTAATTTCTTTGGTGAATTTTTATAGTTTGTTTCTTTGAAGGAATTTACCCTTTTTCATCAGAGTTTTTGAATATAATGACATAAAGCTGTGCCTTAGAAGACCTGCTAATTGACCTGAGATCTGCAGGATCTTGTTCCTTTCTTTCATTACTGATACTGGTCATTCGTGTTCGGTTCCTCCACTGACTCTGTCTCTCATACCAGCCTGTAAGGAGTTTGTACATTTCATTCCTTTTTCCAAAGAACCAACTTTTGATCTCATCTTTCCTCCCTATTGATCTTTTGTTTAATTAATTTCTCTTATTATTTTTATTAATCTCCTGTTTTTCTTTTTTAAAAGATTTTATTTATTTGAGATAGAGAAAGCATAGAGAGAGAGCACAGGTGAGGGTCAGAGAGAGAGGAAGAAGCAGGCTCCCCGCTGAGCAGGGAGCCTGATGTGGGGCTCGATCCCCAGACCCTGGGATCATGACCTGAGCCGAAGGCAGACGCTTAACCGACTGAGCCACCCAGGCGCCCCAATCTCCTGACTCTCTTGTTTTAGATTTAATTCGCTCTTCTTTGACAATATTAGCATATAGAGACTATAAATTTACTTCAGAATGCTAATTTGGCTTTATTCCATACATTCTGATATGTGTGGAATGGATGTGTGGAATGGATATGATGTTTTCTCTTTTTTATTCGATTCCAAATGCTCACTCACTTTTTTTTTAAAAAAATATTTTTATTTATTTATTTGACAGAGATCACAAGCAGGCAGAGAGGCAGGCAAAGAGAGGAGAGGAAGCAGGCTCCCCGCCGAGCAGAGGGCCCGATGCAGGGCTTGATCCCAGGACCCTGAGACCATGACCTGAGCCGAAGGCAGAGGCTTAACCCACTGAGCCACTCAGGCACCCCTGCTCACTCACTTTTATTCAATGTATTGTTTAATATCCAAATATATGAGAATTTTCCAAATACCAAATATTAGTTTCTACTTTACTTCTATTAGGGTCACAGGACACACCTTGTATGATTTGGATACTTTTGTTTATCAAGCCTTGTCTTTGGTTTATATGGGTAAATGCACAATTAAAAAGAATGTTTTTTTCTGCTGTAGTCCTATGAAGTTTTTAAATAATATCAATTAGATTAAGTTAGTTGTAGTATTATTCAGATCTTTTATATGCTTACTGAGTGTCCTCTTGTGTTACTGATAACTGAAAAAGACACTTTTTATTGAGATATAATGGACACATAACATCGTACTAGTTTCAGGTGTACTGCACGATGATTCATTGTATGTGTGTTGTGATGTGATGGCCACACCAAGTCTCAGGAACTTCCGTCACCACACAGAGTTACAAATTTTGTTTCCTCGTGATGAGAACTTTTAAGATTTACTCAAATTTACTGAGTATTATTATTACAGTATAATTATTGCATAATTATTACATATATGATATATACGCACATATACAATGTAAAATATTGTGTAATTATACAGTGTTATTAACTGAAGACATGGTGCCATACATTATCCCAAGGGCTTACTTATTTTGTAACTGGGAATTTGTACCTTTTGACCCCCTTCGCCCATTTCACCCCCACCCAGCCGCCACCCCTGCCTCCGGCAACTTCTAATCTTTCTCTGTATCAATGAGTTCAGGATTTTGTTTTTGTTTTTTTTTTTCTTATTTCACTTAGTATAACGTCATCAACATCCATCCATATTGTCATAAATGGCAGGATTCCCTTACTTTTGTGACTGAATAATATTCGCATGCGCGCATGTGTGGGTGTGTGTGTGCATATATCACATTTTCTTCATCCATCCATCCCTGGAACCTGTTTCCATGTCACCTCACATGGCAAAGGACATTGGGGTGGAGGTGGAAATGAGGAGGCTAATCTGCTGATCTTAAAATAGGAGAGGATCTTGACTTAACCAGTGGGGCCCAATGTAATGACAAGGTCCCGACAAGAATGGAAGAGGGCGGAGGTGGAAGGTAAGTTTTGAGGGTTAGGATGTAAGAAGGACCAAGCCTGTTGCCGGCTTTAGAGGTGGGCAAAGAAGCCTGGTTGCCCATGTCGCATGGGGCTTCCCACCGCTGCTGTCCCAGTCATGGGGAGAGGGAGCCATAGAGCTTCCAGAAGGGAGTTCAGCCCTGCGGACACCTTCATTTTGACCTGTTGAGATCCACGTCATTGGGTCTCTGGTTAACTTCAGACCTACAGAGCTGGCAGATAATGAGTTGTAGCCCGCTAAGTCTGTGGCAGTTCGTTAGGGCAGGCCTAGGAGGCAATGCTGTGCTTTACAGGATGGAAGGAAGAGCTGAGTGGCCGTGCCCAGTGAAAGGTGCCCAAATGAGAAATTCCATGGATCTCAGCCAGGAAGACAAAGACAGGCCAGAGCCCTGCCTCGGGAAAGCATGTAGAAGGATTGTCTTGGATCTGGTGGGTATTGCTCTGCTCGTGATTCAGATTTCCACTGAGGGCTGACTGATGTGGGGGAATCTGACTGTGCAAGTTTCCTGTATGTTGCCCCTTTGTCAGGGAGGGAGACCCACTAGGCTGCATGGTATGAGGTAGCACATTTTCCCAGTGGAAGGGGGAACAGTGTCCTCAGATGAAGGGTTGGGGGAGCTTGTCCACACCCGATAGAAAGATGGGAACCAAACAGTAATGAGCTGAAAATGAACAATATGAATTTCTATTTTTTTATATTTTTTAAAGGTTTTATTTAGGGGCGCCTGGGTGGCTCAGTCGGTTAAGCCTCTGCCTTCAGCTCAGGTCATGATCCCAGGATCCTGGGATCCAGTCCCGCAGTGGGCTCCCTGCTCAACGGAAAGCCTGCTTCTCCCTCTCCCACTCTCCCTGCTTGTGTTCCGGCTCTCATTATCTCTCTCTGTCAAATAAATCAACAAAATCTTTTTTTTAAGAAGGGGGGGTTATTTATTTGTTTGATAGAAAGAGAGAGAGAGCATGACCAGGGAATGGCAGGCAGAGGGAGAAGCAGGCTCCCCAATGGGCAGGGAGCCTAATGCCGTATTCGATCCCAGGACCCTGGGATGATGCTCTGAGCCGAAGGCAGACGCTTAATGACTGAGCCACCAGGGCACCTCCAATATGAATTTTTAAAATAGGTCTTATGGGGACGCCTGGGTGGCTCAGTTGGTTAAGCAGCTGCCTTCGGCTCAGGTCATGATCCCAG